TGAAATATTTCAGTTAGTGTGCAATGAATCTAAAATATATGAATGTTAAATTTTCATCATGACATTATGGAAAATAATGAACTTTATCACAATATGCTAATATTTTGAGAAGGACCTGTATAAGGAAATTCTTCAGAAAAAATAAAAAAATCTGTCTGCCATTCCTTGTACATTTATGACAGATCAGGCCTCAATGTGGCATGTGTTAGCTGATTCTCTGTATCATGCATAACTGTGCCTCTTGTCAGGAGTCTGCAGGGTAGATCTCTTCCATCTGAGGTTAATCCCACAGAAAGAGAGAGATCCCAAACCTGAATATTACTGCACTTCAAATCTCCTCTCAGTCAGACGCCACTACTCACATCTCACAACTTCACACAGAGGGCTGTGCATGACAAGATAAGTGGAAAAGGTAAAGGGAGACAAACACAATCCGTCGCAGTACGCTGAATGACAAATACACACATGCATGCATAGTACATATTTGGATAAAATCATACCCATGCAAAGGAACAACACACACATACAGCATGAACACACACAGATACCTGTACCAACACTCAGCTTTTGACACACACTGGCACTCGAGCTCATCTGTGTGCTATCTGCTCTCTTCTCTCTGCAGTAGGCAGATAAGTGCTATATCCTACCAGCGAGGAGGAAACACTGTAGTGAATAGGTCTCGTGCCTCCTCTCTGTGCAGCCCACAGCTGCTATGTGCATGTTGGTGTTTCTTGCAAAAGCTTGTTTTAAAGCCTAAGATTGCTGTTCAAATCCACAACAGAAAACAAATGTGGGATATCCACTGAAAAATAAATACTTTTTATACTGTTATCATTTGTTTCTCAAATTTTCCACCTTGAGCTTTGGTCACAACCGCACGAATTCCTTCCAGGCATACATTCGATTTTTCAAGCTGTTTTGCGGCCACTCATCTCTGTGAAAGTTTCCATAAGGGAATCATACAGGTGCAATAAACTAGAATATTCTGTAAAAGTACCTTTATATCAGCAAGTAAATTCAAATGTGCATTTTTTAGATTTATTGCACACAGAGTGACATATTTTAGGTGTTTGTGTTAGTTTTGATTATTAAGGTTTACAGTAAATGAAAACCTAAATTCAGTTTTTCCAGAATATTAGAAATTACACACAAATAAAAAGGAATTTTTTAACATAATTGTCCACCTTTTTAAAATATGTCCATGTACTTTACTGTACACACTGCATACTTAGGGCTTCATGTGCATGACTTACCGCATAAGTGCCATGTGGCATTGAGTCAATTAGTCTGTAGTTGCTCTGAAGTGTTAACGAAGCCCAGGTTGCTTTGATAGTGACCTTCAGCTTGCTTGCATTGTTGGTTCTGGTGTCTGTCATCTTTCCCTTGACAATGCCCCATAGTTTCTCTATGTGATTTAGGACATGTGAGTTTTCTGGTCATTCAAATGATATAATGATCTTGAAACCAGGAATTGGTACTTTGCTAATAAATAATATCTGAATCTCTATAAATGTTGTCAGAAATGCAAAACATACTGACATCTGAAGAGACCTTTGAGACTTTGTAATAATGAGCAACAGTCCAGCACTTTTTCTCCTTAACCCAGGTTTAACACAAGGAATATCAGAGTTGTAGCCCATGTCCTGGATGCATCTGTGTGTGATGGCTCTTGGAGCCCTGATTCCAGCTGCAGTCCACACATTCCAAATCTCCACAAAAGTCTCGAATGGGCTTTCCTTTACAAATGTCTTACGGCTATGGCTATCCCTGTTTTTTGTGCACCTTTTTTTTTTTTTTTTTTACAAGACTTTTAGTTTTCCACTCAAATTTTCATTATAATTCTTGGAAACAGCACTTTGAACAGCCAACTTGTTTAGCAATGTCCTTTTGTGGCGTCCCATTCTTATGGTACCTGTGTTAGTGACTGTCTGCTGGACAGTTGTTGAGTCAGCAATCTTTACCATAATTGTGTAGGCCATAACACAGACACAAAAAAATGAATTATTGAAAGATACTTATTTGTGTCAAAATCGAAATAAACTGACCCTTTCACATTTGCCCACATTGTGGGACTTCACTGCTGTAACAACATAGACACTTTGCCCTGCCCCTACCCTGCAGCCTCACCTGACCTAAACGATGAGTTACTGCTGGAAGTTTAAACTCTGCTAACATGGGGAGTACATCCAGAAAACAAACATAGCCTCTTTAGCTGACAAGGCAAACACAAATTGTTGTTCGGAGGTTATTTCCATATGACACACAGGAAAACAATTAAATGCTTAAGGAGCTAGCTGTGCTAGCTGTGCTAAGACTGTGACATTGATTTAAGGGGCAACCTAAAAAGGTCAGTAAAGTGAGGCGCAACGGTGGCGCAGGGGTAAAGTGCGCGACCCATTTAGGCTGTCGCGGGTTTGAGTCCCAGCCTGTTGCCGTTTACTGCTCTCCTCTCTCTACACCCCATTTCCTGTCAACTCACTTTCGGAAAATGTGAAAAATAAACACCAATAGGACCTAAAAAAAAAAATTAGTAAAGCTCCTGTATCTTCAACAGGGAAGTCGTAAACCCAGATGACACAAGCTAACACTATCTGTTTAAAATATTAGTTTCACCGACAGTCCAATGATGGATTTCCATTGGTCTGAGCTCCCTGCTCGAGATGCTCCTCCAAGGTGCTCAGTTCTGAACCATGCAATGCTTCGTTACTGTGGTAATCAGTGCAGGAAAATGTTGATTAGCTGATGATTGGGTTGGATACTAAATAGTAAAGCAATAAAACAAGCCAGGGCTCCCACCTCAATTTCTCCTTGTTGCATTGGAGAATGATAACACGCTATGGTGGAGTCAGACTGAAGCTGTCAATTAGAGCAGAAAAAGTAGCAACCCATAGCAACGTACCTTGCTGCTGTAGTCGATCACTAAAGAAAATATAATGCAAAATTACCAGAAAAAGACAAATTATATAGCGCTGGTGCTAAATACATTTGTATGGATCAGATCCTTGGTCCTACACTGTAAAAAATTATTTATTTAGTCCCTCAGTAGTAAAATTTATTTGTATAAACAACAAACTGACCGGCAAATAGAAGCACACAATGGCACACTAAACATAAGCAATTATAATAAAAACTAAATATTTACACATTAGAATCAAAGGTACACATTTATACGTGTACAGTATACACGTATACTGTGTACACATGTGATTACCTCATCTTTTGTTTTGCCGGGGAGGCACAGGAAAGTGACACTTCCATTTTATATTTCTCTAAACAAGGGCTGAATTGTCCCCTACTTATTGGTTTTGCCCTAATTAAGTAAGTTAAAATATTGTATCATATTTTTTTCTCTTAACCAAAATTAACCCTGTGCCTTCAAAAAATGTTGCTGCAGTATCCAAAATGGTATTTAGTATCAGTTATTTTTCTTATTATCTGCATCCACAGTTCATGATCCCCCACACGACCAACACACCTGTAGGCTGCTGTGAAATCTTCTGAGTGATAATTAAAAAGAATAGTGGTAGTTTATCTTCTATAAACGTCATAGACAGGTGTTTTTTCTTCAGTGTCAGTCCCCTTTTTATTTATTCATCCATAATTTCTTTCTATTTTATTGAGAAGTGTTTCTCTTGCATTCCCCCCTGTGTTAAAGTGTGTGTGTGTGTGTGTCTCAGGGGTCCTCTTCCATACCTGTGCTTTCTACCTCCCTGGATAAAAGCGTTTGAGATGTGACTGTCATCAAGTCAGCCCCTGCCACACCACTGCTGCTCCACTTCATCACCAGTTAACCATCACATTGCCATCATTAGAAACTGGGATTTGGGGGTGGATGCCTCAGACTGAGGAACAGAGGTGGATGTTGAGGGAAAAAGGAATAGTTTATTCAGATATTTCAGTACCCAAGGTTTCTGATCGGTTCTACTACTTAAAATACAGGTCCTTCTCAAAATATTAGCATATTGTGATAAAGTTCATTATTTTCCATAATGTCATGATGAAAATTTAACATTCATATATTTTAGATTCATTGCACACTAACTGAAATATTTC